CCACCCAATCAGAACACAGCCAAGCCCCCACCCAATCAAGTCACACCCCCACTAGCAGTTAAAAGGAAGAAGTAGCTGCAAGCTCACATTACTCCGAGAAGCACAAAGCTGAAGACACAAGCCTGAAGATGATGAATGAGATTTCATCAAAACGTCGCCAAGATACTTCCAATTTTACATGGGAGAAAACCCGAATAACCAAAGATCCACATACAAATACCCACAAAAACCTCAGAAAAGACATATGTATATGTATGTATGTGTGTATGTATGGTATTCAGCTTTGTTCGGGTATTTTCCCACGTCATTATAGTTGTGCTTTGAAAGTTGTAGCAACGTTTCGGCAGAATCTCATCTGCCATCATCAGGTTTCTGTATAGTGTTCGTCTGTGAGTCAGACTTTCATAGCCTTTTCTGTTTTCTGTGAAAGTCTGACTCACAAACGAACACTATACAGAAGCCTGATGATGGCAGATGAGATTCTGCTGAAACGTTGCTACAACTTTAAAAGCACAACTATAATGACGTGGGAAAATACCTGAACAAAGCTGAATACCATACATATAAATACCCGTGAAAACTTAAGAAACTTAAGAATGTGTGTGTGTACACACACACACACACACACACACATACACATACAAAGGTTCTGATGGACCTACCTAGGGTTACTAAAAGCCAGATTCAAAGTTCCAATGATCCCTCTGCACGCAGTCACACGACCACACTTAGGCCACTCTATTGCTGGATTGCATTTATGGTCATTTGCATTGTCCTGCAGTTATATGATGGTTTTGCCAAAATTTGGCAATTACTTCTGGTTTTTGGCAAAAAAAAAGGCCCTATAGAGAACCATTGGTTTGCTTAACAACCATGGCATTTGCATAATGACCGCCATAGAAAGGATTATAAAATTAGGTTGGTCATATAACTGACCCACTTTATGACTGTTATGACTTAACAACCAAAATGGTTAGGCTCCATTATGATCATAAACAGGTACCTGTATCTTGTTTCTTCCTTATCTTTGATTTAACAGCAGAATAAAGAGATCTCCAAAGGCTACAGCAAGGCCTTTGAAATGTAAGCCACAGTTTGAAATAATGAAAGAAAGTGTGTTTCTACTTCAGATGTTCCCCTTGCACAGTTCTTGCTTGGGCTAAAGTGTATTCTTTGTTTTCTAAGTGTGTAAAATATTAACCTCCTGTGGATGGATCTGATCTTTCAGATTCAATTGCTTCTAGTGTCTCAACTGTATTCGAACGAGATCCTTCTAAAAGCAAAGAGGCAGAAGATCTGATTGAATATATTGAAAGGTAAGACAGCAAGGGAGTCTTCTGATACTCTCTCTTTATTTAGGCATATGAAATTGTTTAGTGCACCAAGTACAGTTAACCCTTGGTTTGAAAATGATGTGAAAAGTGCTTTACACAAATGCATCACTTCTTGGTTCTTCACTAAAATAACTATAGAAAAAAGTGGGTACTTAAAAATTGCTTCATTAGTCATTCTTACAGCAGCCACGTTGTGTAAAACTCAAACAAAAATCTGAAAAAAGACAATCTACTTTAATATAGAGCAAATAGAGGTCGCACTAACTCAAAGTATGAAGCATTTCTTCAAATCATCTTTTTTTAAATATATGTTTTATTAATACATTTTATATCACATAAAAATCCATATCTATTAGAGAGGGCGGAGCTGGCGTCATGACGATATGGCATGCGATCTTGGAGGTCTGAGATTGCTGCCAATATCTTTGCTCCTGGATGGTCCAAATGGATCTAAACCATCCCGAAGAGACGGTGAATGTAAAGAGAGCATCCTGTCAATCCCAGGGATACCGCAAAGTCCCTGGTAAATCCAGGAGAAGCTCTTTTTGCCAGTGGCAGAGGCAGCCATTAAAGCTGCTGCAGTTGGGACAGCTCCGAAACGAAAGAGAATGGAAAGAGAAAGTGTGCTAGTTTGGTGAGAATTTTTTCTTTACTTTAAGATTTGAAAGGACACCCTAAGGAAAAGAAAGAATCTGTAAAATTTTAGACAGAAGTGATTAAGGGCAATTTTAAACAGGAAGTCAAAGTAATTTTTTTTATCTTTGCTGGACTTTTTATATATGATTTTATATTTTGAAACTGGACTGGCTTTGTTTCTACCTATTCTTTCTCTCCTTTTTGACTTTATAATATTTTAGGCTAGACACTCCCTTCTAGTCATTTTTTAAAATATCTTTTTCCCTTTTTAATTAATTTTTATTGTACCCTGTTTCTCCAACAATACGACCTCCCCCAATAGGAAGTCCCAGCATGTTTTATAGGCATGAAATGAAATTAAGCCCCTCCCCCCCAAATTAAGGCCTATATTAAAACATGCGAAATGTGGGGGAATGGTGGGGGGGCTTGCCGTTAGGAAGTACTTTTGTTGCACACACGGATATGGTGCTGCCTGCGTTGACTCCGATACAAAGTGCCCCACCAACGCCGAGGTCAACATCCAAGCCGTCACCACCCGTCCGAAGATGCAAGGGGGGGGAATTAAGTCACCCCCAAAAAGACAGCCTAGCCATTTTTTCGGGTCTCAAAAAAAAAAAAAAAAAAAAGGCCCAGCCTTATTATATGAGAAACTCGGTATCTTGTTTGGAAAAGGAGGGGGAAAGTGAAAGCAGAAGAAACTTTGTAACACTGCCAACTAGAGGTTTGGAAATATTCTACCTCTTTTTTTTTTTCTCTTGACCAGACAAAGCTGAGAAAGATCTGAGACTTCTTTTCAAGGACTTTGCCTGTTTGATAAGATAGAGAAAAGAGCATGGGAGAGTATTGTTGCAGGTGCTCTTCTGGGTTTCTATCAGTAGCTGGAGTCTGGTGTTGAAGTTTACAGAAAAAAAAAAGATGATAAACTCTGGAGAAGAGAGTTATAAATTTTAACAAAAGCCTTGGATAACTAAATAAGGTGCAGTGTGCTCTTTTTACTTTTTTTAAGCTGGGCTATTTCTTACTTTAACAAACCCCCTCCTTACTAGCTTACTTTTTGTAACAGCTATTTGGATCTTTGGCCTTTTGGAACTTGTTTTTGCCTTTCTTTTTGTTTTTGAAGTCTCATTTTTACGTTTGCATTTTATTTTAAAGGAAAAGTTTTAGTATTAATGTTTTCCTTCTTTTTTTTTTTTAAGGGAGCAGTCTCTTTTCTTTTTTCTCTCTCCCTTCCTTGTATTCTTTTTTTCTATTTACTTTCCATATTGTTTTTTTTTGTGGCTTTTTTTGTACATCTTTTTATAACTGAGACTTTTTAATTGGATTAAGGTGTTGAAGAACCTGAAGAACTTTTTTTTTCTTCTTTAGTTTTTTATTTTCTATATTTCCACCTCTTCCAGGATTTAACAATTTTTTCCTTTTTCTGTTTATGGTCTTTTCTTCCATTTTTGAGTTTTTACTGCTAAAATCGATTGGATTAAGGTATACAAGAACCTGAAGATATTTTATTATTATTATTATTATTATTATTATTATTAGTAGTAGTAGTAGTAGTAGTAGTAGTAGTAGTAGTATTTAGCTTCTTTTTTCCCACTATTTTTACTTGGAATTACAATTGGTTATTTCACAAGTGGATTAAGGTCTAGAAGAACGTGAAGATTTTGAATTGTCTGAAATGAGTAGGAAACTAACAGCGGCTGGTCCTTCAACTTCTACTTCTTCCTCTTCCCCACCTGGAGGACAACGCTCAATACAGACGATGTTACAGAAAGAAAAAGAACAGTAAAAGGTGACGCTTCAGATGATTATGCAAGGAATTCAAAATATACAAATAAGAACAGAGAATATTGAAAAGAGAACAGAGAACATTGAACAAAGAACAGGAAAAACTGATGAAAAGGTGGAGAACATACAACAAATGATGATGAAGTATGATGAGAGATTCCAAAAAATTGAAGAAGATAAACAAAGAGATAAAAAGATTGGAGATATTGATAGCAGATTAACTGTGGTTAAACAAGATAAAAGTGGGATGCTGAGATGGGAGATGGGAGATGGACAGATCAGAATTTTATCTCAGATTCCAAAACATAGAGGAAGAAAAGGGACAAAACGTAACTGAGATAATGATAGAAATTTTGGCTGAAGCTCTGGAAATAAACAAAGAGAAGATGATGGATGGAATAGACAAGGTTTATCGAGTTTTCACAAGATATGCAATGAGAAATAGCTTACCAAGAGAAGTTCACATCAGATTTAGAAAGAAAGCCATTAAAACGCAAATATTGCAAGTGGCAAGAGAGAAAACATTGAAATATAAAGATAAGGAGATTGTGGTCCTAAAACAAGTACCCAGAAGAGTGAGAGAGATGAGAAGAGAATACCAATTTCTGACTAAAATTCTACTTTAAAAAGAGGTGAATTATAGATGGTTGATTCCAGAAGGTTTAATGTTCACATGGCAAGAACAGAGATATAGAATTGATTCAATTGAGAAAGCTGAATTATTTTATACAGAATATTTTGGAGGGAAAGAGGAGGAGACAGAAAAAGAAATGTCACTAATTGAATTCCAAGAGGACTGCCAAATAGTGTCTGAAAAAGAAGAAGGTGCAGTAGGTGGAAAGGTGGAAGTTAAAGAACATGAACCAAGATCTACGAGAGCTGCTAAACCTACCTATAAAATATAATCATGGAAGAGAAAAAACTGATTACAATTAACATAAACAGACTTATTCAGCTGTTAAAAGAAGGAAAACTTTCCATAAATTAGAGAAATTAAAATTTGATATAATCTGCCTACAAGAAGTACATATTAAAAAACAACATGAACAAACACTGATACCACCAAAACTAGGGAAAATATTTACTTCTTTGACACAATGCAGGAAAAGAGGAGTGGTTTTATACATTAAAGATATTATCCCAGCGAAATTGATCTATACCAATGACGATGGAAGAATACTAATGGTGGAAATAATGGACAATAATATGAAAACACTCCTGATTGCAATCTATGCCCCGAATGACAATCAAGAAGGATTTTATAGAAAACTACATATGAAAACAATGGAACTGGACGATGCTAATATACTTATGATGGGAGATTTTAATAGAATTGTAGACAATAAATTGAACTATACAGGACAGAAAACAACAAAGCAAAAGAGAAAGACTCTCCCTAAATCTTTTTTTAAAATGATAGATGAAATAAATTTAAAAGATACATGGAGAGAAAGAAATGGTAAGACTAAACAATGTACCTTCTATTCAAACTGACATTTATCATGGTCCAGAATAGATATGATATGGATGTCAACAGAATTGTTAGCTAATATCCAAGAAATAAATATTGAAACAAGTACTTGGGCAGACCACAATCCAATGACAATTAAATGGAAAGGACAAAGAAGAAGATCTAGATCAGGCTTGTCCAACCTGCGGCCCATGGGCCACATGCGGCCCAGGTCACCTCGTAATGCGGCCCAGTGCCCACCCCAACCATCGTGCCACAGCCAGCGAGAAGGAGGAGGAGAGGCAGGCGCGAGGCGGGGCGAGGCGAGCGCCAGGCCAAGCAGCAAGAGAAAAGGTGGGCGCCGTCAGAGCGCCACCTCCTGCTGTTGCCGCCGCCGGCACCCCCGCCGCTTCTGCCCCCGCCACCGCTGCTGCTTCTGCCCCCGCCACCGCTGCTGCTTCTGCCCGCGCCGCCGCTGCCCGCGCCGTCTCTGCCCCTGCCGCCGCTTCTTCCCCCGCCACCGCTGCTGCTTCTGCCCCTGCCGCCGCTTCCCCCGCCACCACTTCTGCCCCCGCCACCACTGCTGCTTCTGCCCCCGCCGCCGCTGCTGCCCCCACCGCCGCCACTTCTGCCCCGCCGCCACCCCTGCTGCTTCTGCCCCCGCCGCCATTTAGATAAGATTTTGACAGGTACTGATGAAAAGGTGATTAAAAAATTGTATGGATATTTATTAGAAATTAAACTAGAAGAAGAACAAGTTAAAGAAACCATGATAGTTTGGGGGAACAATTTTGGATATGAGATTGATCTAGAGAAATGGCAAAAATTGTGGTCTCAAAATTATAAAATGATAAAGTCAACTGCATATAAAGAAAATTTGTATAAGATGTTTTACAGGTGGCATTTTCCCCCAACAAGAATAGCAAGAATGTTCAAGAACAAATCTGAAAAATGTTGGAAATGTCATTAGATACCTGGCTCATATTACCATATGTGGTGGACTTGTGTGGATGCCAAAAAATATTGGACTAAAATCCACACGTGGTTGGAAAAAATGACAAAAAAGCATATACACTTGAAACCAGAGATATTTTTATTGGGAATTTTACCTGAA